GCTAGACTCTGAATTATCTTGTCTGCGTGGATCGGCTCCTCACCCCGCAGGGTGTGAGGTTACTTTACATTGAGGCTTCTTGAAAAGACAAGGAACCAACATGTTCAGTTTAAATCAATCGGGCCTGATGGTGTTATCAAATTACAGGTAAACACTTCAACAGTGTTGGATACTTTACTTATTACTCAATAAAGAAGGTGATCACTTTACTTATTACAATCATATACTTTCCAAAAATAATACCAGTCTGTACCTGGTTTAGAATTGGTCCAAAAGACTGATTAAACTGGTGTTAGTCTGTTTATCAGGGGAAGAGGCATACTCACCATGATCCATAACAGGACAATGCTCCTTTGTCACATTTGTGTAAGGTTAAAACAAGAGTTATATGTAACCTGTCTACATACAGACATCTAAGAAAGGATGTCTGTATCAGTGTAGACAGTGGACTTTTCACTTTCAACTCACCAAACAAATGTTTGCTTGGGTGTGAAGGGTGGCTGAGGGGGCATGCAATGTCTGACTCTGTCATCTTCTTTTAAAGGCCATTTAAGTTGTGTGTATGTGTTTGTGTGTGTGTTTGTGTGTGTGTGTGTGTGTGTGTGTATGTCCGTGAGAGAGAGAGAAAGAGAGAGAGAGAGAGAAAACAATGGATAGCTGACAGACTAACATGCTGTTTGGTATATACATGCCACATCATGATATGTAACTGACCTTTCTCTCTCTCTCTCTCTCTCTCTCTCACACACACACACACACACACACACACGCGCGTGCGTCTTTCAATTATGTCTGTAAGGAGGTAACAGGTCACCCTGTGTGTGTGTGTGTGTGTGTGTGTGAGAGAGAGGTTGTAAGATGAGAGGGTAGATAGACTGTAAGTCTAACCCTAACCAAAAAAAAGGAAAAAAGCTGGAAAAACTGAAAGAAGGAAGGATAACAAGAAAGAAGCGATGGAATGACATCTTATTATTGCCAGCCAGTATTATTAACCTCAACTGACATGCTACAAAAATTTTTAAAATGTTACAAATAGCACCATAAAGTTTATACATTAGTATTCAAATTAAGTGCTATACTGGCCACTTTATTTGGTACACCTTGTTAGTACCGGGTTGGACCCCCTTTTGCCTTCAGAACTGCCTTAATTCTTCCTCAGAGACTTTGGTCCATATTGACATGATAGCATCACGCAGTTGCTCTCCCGTTCTATCACATCCCAAAGGTGCTCTATTGGTTTGAGATCTGGTGACTGTGGAGGCCATTGTAGTACAGGGAAACCAGTTTGAGATGATTTGAGCTGTGTGACATAGTGCATTATCCTGCTAGAAGTAGCCATCAGAAGATGGGTTCACTGTGTTCATAAAGGAACGGATATGGTCAGCAACAATACTCAGTAGACAGTAGACTGTCACGTTTAAACAATGATTAATTGGTACTAAGGCGAATTGTAGCCAGAGTTTCCTGTTGTACGTTCAGAGATGGTATTCAGCACACCTTGGTTGAAACAAGTGGTTATTTGAGTTACTGTTGCCTTTCTATCATCTCAAACCAGTCTGCCCATTCTCCTCTGACCTCTGACATCAACAAGGCATTTTCTTCCACACAAGTGCCGCTCACTGGATATTTTCTCTTTTTCGGACCATTCTCTGTAAACCCTAGAAATGGTTGCGCGTGCAAAACCCCAGTAGATCAGCAGTTTCTAAAAGAATGTCTGGCACCAACAACCATGCCACATTCAAAGTCACTTCAATCCCCTTTCTTCCCCATTCTGATGCTCGGGTTGAACTTCAGAAAGTTGTCTTGACCACATCTACATGCCTAAATGCACTGAGTTGCTGCTATGTGATTGGCTGAAAAGCTATTTGTGTTAACAAGAAATTGAACAGGTGTATTTAATAAAGTGGCCGGTGAGTGTATATCCCTGGAGTGCTCCAAACTGTTTCTGGGGAGGCACATTGAACGGAAGTGAAGAAAATACTACATAAGTTATCAAAAGGAGATCATATAGAACAGACGAAATGTGTGTGATTTGGTTAAAGAGAGAAAGTTTATTGTCTTTCCTACTTTCCCAGAGTCAGAAACTAACAAATGCCTTAGGACAGTCTTGTATGCATTTGGTATTGTTTGAAGTTAAGTCAAACAGCAATATTATCTTGGCTGAATTGTTGAGTGTCTATGGGATCAAATAACATAATCATGATGTAATAACATAGACATGCAGGAATTGAGCGAAACTACGCAAGTAAACTAACTATAGTGACAGTCTCGGGTTTCCTGTTGTCTGACATTGTGTTCATTTTCTTTTAACATCTCCTCCACTCTCTTTGTCATTCTGCCTTTCATTCTCCTTTGCACTTGATCAAATAAAACATTACTGAGCTACAGAGATTAACAATGCAAATCCACATTGCTTTCAGAGACAATTTTGTGCTCAGACAAAATCATCTCATTTTGCATTGTTACTGTTGTGCAGTGTTGTGCCTACATATGTGTGTCTAACTTGATGTCTAACTAGTGACTAATAGGAATACAGCGTTCCCACAAACGCCTGAATCATCTTAAGTTACATCAAACCCTCACAGGAACAACTGAAAACTTTAATGTCTCCTCCCACTTTGTCTTTCTATTGACCTTCTTTAATTCAGCTGTGATTCAGTTCTCTTGTTTTTGCCCTTTCTCTTATCTTTTTCCAGCTCATTTTTCTTTCCTCTCACTTTTCACATTTTCAGTAGATATTTTTAACAGTGTGAAAATTGAAACCATTTTAGTCTCATCTGTGGTTCCTTTTGTCTCTGCTTTTCTGCTCTTTTTCTCTTCTTTCTCACTTTGGTTCAATCCACTTCCACAGTGCATTGGACGCACATAAACAGAAGCAGAACCAAAGCCAATATGACTCCCACCTACCAAGATACGGAAACACACACAAAGTCCCTCCATACATGTTTTAACATTAACAAATTAAGACACGAGATAAGACAAACATCACTCAATCTTCTCCAACCCAAAGGAGAAAAAGATAAGTTATTGTTTTTATGTTTATTTCCCCTGCAGGCTAATTAGACAATTTTCACAACAAAGATAAACTTCACACATTAATAATACTTACAATAATGCTGCACAGCAAAAATGTTCATCTAGACATTAAGTCTTCAAAAATAGAATAAATTGCATTGTAGTTAAGCTTGTTCCACTAATGGCCACCTTGTCTCCTTACAGCAACACCATAAACTGGAACAGAATCGGCACCCTTCATTGTTCAATTATGAATCACAGCATATATAACTTCTTGAAAAGATAGCCTGGGGCATTCTTCTATCATCATTGCATTAACGACTTTGTGACCATCCTCTTTTGCTGTCCAATGCAATTGCAAAAACATTAATTACACTTTTATTTCTTCTCACAAACAAGAGAGAAGAAATTGTGTTGGAAATTAGATTTAAAAGTTTTGATGCTTTGGTTGATGAAATGCCACAAACATCTCCAGTGGTGACAGGTGAATATAAAACATGTGGCTGACATACTGATTGTTATTTTGTATGGTTTCATTAATTCTCATCACTCACTTTACTTGGCACCATCTGTAATATTTCACCATGGTAACTAAAAGATTTCACTGTCCATATGTCACTACAAAATATGCCACCTTCCATATGATGTTATATTTAGTACACTAGATGGAGGGCAAATGATTGTATAAAAGAAGAATCTAAAGATAAAATATAGAAGACCCTGTTGGTGTTATGATTCTTTTACTTTAAGGACAGTATTCAAAATGAAGTATTCATTATTTACCTTGGAAGTAGTAGTTTGACAAACGATCCCAACTTAAGGTCTGCTTACTAGCTTTCAGCTGTATTACATGGTCTTCATCAGGTGACATTACCATGAGTTGGGATTGTTTTGTCCAAGTATGAAAATGTCTTTTTGTTCAGAATATGAATTTTCTATTTGAATGCAATAATCAAATGAATCCATGGTAAAGCTGAATAATAAAACAAACTCAACACAGATCACCACATTCTACAAGATCTATTTAAATTTGACATTGATGTGGATGTTTTCCTTTATATTACAGTGTCCTTTGCTATTTATCATGGATATAAAAAAGTTTTTCTAGAATAAAACATAACAGGATTTTTTGTGCACTGTCCACCCACCCTGTTGTATCTCATGACTAACTGCTTCTGTACAATATGAAATTTGTACAAATTCTTTATGGTTTCGTTCAAGTCCAATAATGAACTCTTAGGTTTATTGAATTACATATTCCGTACATTAACATATCTACTAAAAGTTTCAGAAAAGCTACATTTAAGAATTTGAACTGAAAAAAGAACTAAAGAAGTTGCCGCAAACTGTCTGTTTTACATAAACAAGCCTTTTTTATACTTTTTAGTAAGTATAAGGATGTTAACTTGCAATAACTGATTTTTTGGCCACTTGGCGGCAGCAGAAACAAGTTTAGCAAACTGTTTTGTATGTGCTCACAAGGGCATCACTTTGTGTTGAAAAGTGGTGGGGACATTTAAGGGCTCATATTAGGGGTCTGACGAAACATTTAGCCCACGAGACGTGAGACTGCACAATATTGGAGTCACACGAAGAAGACAATTAGATACTCCAATGCTATTTATAAGAAATCTTCATTGATGAAATAGGCTATTCAATTGGGTGGTCTGGGGGTCCTCCCCCATTAAACTCTTGATTTCCTGCATTCTAGAGACATTTTCTGCACCAATTTATGGTGGAAATGTCTTTTATTTATATGAAGGGAAACAAAATTCATGTGGTTGGTGACAATTCAGATTATAAAACTATTATTGAATATAATGCAGTAATCAGCAGCTTGTTTTTTTAGCCTAAGTTACGTTTTTGGACAAGGCAGATCTGTTTTCTTCTATATTTACATTGCATTTCATGTTTTCCTATTGTGCAAGTTGTTGTGTTATTTAACATTTCTTGTTGCAAGCTAATTTTCAAAAAAACTTTAGCAAATGCTTTCAAAAAGTGGAGGGGACAAAATCAACAATTTCAAAAAATGGTGGGGACATGTTCCCAGCGTCCCAAGTGTAAATGACACCTGTGTGCTCAGACCTCTAAAGGGCTTCGCTTTGCTAACTTTGTCTGTCTTGCTGTTTGGTGTTGGGCAAGTAGTGTACAGTGGATTATTTTTTTTTTCTGCTGAAAACTGCTGCATGCTGGGGCCAAAAACAATCCTGATGAGAATGGTGAGAGAATTAAAACAGTAAAGTTGTGGACCGGAAAACCAAAGCTATGAGCTGAAAGATGATAAAATGCAGAGCTGAGGGGAAGTGCAGAGTTGGTGATAATTCTCTGTGGATTTGTCACTATGAGTGACCCCTTTGACATTACAGTCAGCCATTTGATCCATTGTAAATATAAAATTGTTGCTGCTTGAAGGACCAATCATGCACTTACATAGTATTCTAATGCAGAAAATATTACAAAGGAGAGATTGCAACTGTCCTTTTCTTCAGAATGACCTGCTTAACGTGTCCACACATCTACCTTACCTTACCATCCATCCATCCATCCATTAATTCATCATCCACCCCTCCTAGAGTCCTTCCACCAGTCTTGTCACTGAGCAAACCACCCCAGACACACTACAGATGACCCCTAGACTCAGTATACACACATCTATCAGCCGCTCCCTCACAGTGAGGCGGCTCCACTGCAGTCTGAGGTGAAACAGGCACGGCAATATGAGTGTCATGGCCGCCCCGGTAACACTGCCTGTCAAACCCATCAACAGAGAGAACCTGGGGACTAGCAGGGCCAGTAGGTATGATGTCATCAACAAGGCGCCGCGGACCATCAGGGCCGGACGAGGCACACCTTGACCTCCGTGTTTGGAGTACGATGAGATAACAGCATCTGCAGAAAGAAGATTGAAGCAGAGAAGTTGAAAGGCTACAGCGCTTTTGGTGACAGTTTGTGTTGACCCTGTAAGCAACGTTTGTGTATGTGTTGCTCTATTCTGACTTATTGTTTTCCAGTTGCATCTACGTATGTAGGGGCATCATCAGCCTCCAACTTTACAAGTACAAGTAAGTGAATAGAACAAGTACCAATTATGTGGCATTATTTACTGATGAGTGAAAGACTTGACTATTGCTTGAAAAAAGCTGTAGAGGACAGGGAAACTTTAATCATCTTTTGTTCATTTTGCCCAGTGAAAATATTCATCATAACACTACATTACATTTCGAGGGCAAAAAGTAAAGTATCATAATCTGATGACTTCATGACTGTTGACAGTCAATAATTATGAAAAGTTCAGCCATGGTGACAAATGTTTTGACAGTCAACACATTAGCGAAATTTCCTGATCACCCGACTCTCAAGTGAAAATAAATGGCATGTGATATTTGCTTGTATTCTGAGCTATAGGTTGGATTTTTTTGACATTCTTTTTGAGGTTTCATTTCATGTTTTGCTGACTTTGTTGCTCTTGATTTTAGGTGCAGTTAGTACGAGTTAGTTGTCATGTTGGTGGGACTAGTGTAGTGGCACTATGTATTTCACATGTTGTCTGCTGTGACATGTCTGATTTGTACGTACCCTTTGGGGATTAATAAATTGATCTAATCTAATTTGCTCATGTTGCTCACAGTGTGAAAACACATTGAGGGTCCAGAATTAAATATCTGTTGTGAATCAAAACATATGTTTCCTAAATCGTTATCAGATTACTTTATTGGTAATCTTTGGTAGTCATGGGGTTCAAAGGTGGATGCCAGCATCCAGATGACTTGAAGGAACTAACTTCACATATGGTGACAATACTTTGGGCAAGGTTAGAGGTTTGAATATAGAATAGATCTGTTAGTAGTATTCACCTCCAAGCAGACAGGTCTGTAGTATTTCAGCAGCAGAGTAGAATGGCAGAGGGTAGGACAGCAGGGCTTTAGCCAGCAGGCACAGGTTGACGAGAGGTCGAAGGTCAGAGGGCAGGTTGTCTGTGATGACCTCACTGGTCTCTGCCCCCCATGTCAACACGGCCTGATGGATGAAGTAAACTATCAGTGCAGTCAGTCAATCAATCACTCCACTTGTCCGTCCCTTCTTCCATCCTTTGATCAGACCTGCTGTTGTCAGCTAGATGTCGAGCCAAAAATACATTATAGTACTGTCTCAACATTTTTAGATATTCGGCCATCAACAAATTAGAAAATAGCAGCTGTAAAAACTGATGGAACAAAACTAACCTCTATGTTACTTTTAGAGCCATCAGAAACGCAGTCAAGCAACTCTATGAACTCAGTAATCATAGAAATTACAGGTAAATTTGCCCTGTCACTAACCAGTAAAGAAAACAGGGTTTTTATGATGCAGGCGGCACCATGAGTCCACGCCAGCATGGCATTAAACTGCCCTCTGTCCTCCATACTGCCCTCTAGAGGAGGGAGGAAGATCTGCGAGGTGTAGGAGAAGATGATGACTCCCACAGAGACGAGGAAGTCCTCCGGGTCCACGGACAGAGACAGGGAGGACCAGGACCAGCTGCTGGACCGACTCAGACAGTACAGCATGACCAACAGGCTGTTAGTGGGGTCAGAGACAAAAGGAGAGAACATGAGAAAACATAATCCTCAATTACTGGAATAAAGTATCTAAAATCAATGTAATACTAATTCTTTCATTTATTAATTCATTCAACATAATACAACAGAAGAAGGCCCATTAAGATTTGGTCACTCTCAGGGCAATAAAAGTCCTACCTAAAGGCAGATGAGGAAAACAAAGGAAGAAATATTTTCAGACAAACTAGATTCATTGTTCCTGTATAGTTTTTGAAAAGTCTCCTACTTCTTCAGCTTAATAAACTAGCTTAAAATGTTTAGGCACAAAGCTGAACACAGCTGTTTTTCTTAACTCATGAAAGCTTGCAGTTTTGGAGATACATAATTTTCAAAAGACAGGGATTTTGTTTTTTCTTATTAACATGGAATGCATATTCTTAATTTAATTTAAACCTATTCTAACTAAAAATCAATAAACTCAACTTGAGACTCCTCTTCAAAAGACTTGCCTCGAGCTCGAGGTGCAGGACTTGTGAACAATGTTTATTTTTAGGAAGGCTCTGATGAGCTTGCTGTTATTCCCCTCCCTCTGTTACCTATAACCTACCTACATAACACGTAGTATCAGCTGTGCAGGCCACACATGAGAGGGGACAACAAACACCGGCTTTGTTTGTGTTGACTTACAATAGTTTAAGCTGTCATTAATTGCATTGCACATTACATGGTTGTGCTCTGTGAAACACAGGTTACAGGTTTATTGTTGATCATGTAACATTACAGTTTTATTTAGTTACATTACACTGGTTTGAGAGTCTGGGGGATGTGTTGACTTACAGTAATTTATAAGCTGTCATTAGTTGTAGATGCATTAGACTACATGGTTTTGCTCTGTAAGTGAAAAATAGGTTAATAAATATGGATTGAACGCAGCAGGTTCATCAGGTTCATTCATTATAACCACGAGTGACTTGAGACTTGCTTGGACTCTGAGCATCTCTGCATCCAACTGACACAGTGTTGTTTCCCATTTGCCATGATGTGCATGCAACAAAGGGTTACTTTTATTTGGTTATTAAACCTTTGCTCCGGAGGGTGGTTCCCAATTAATCCAAGCTGCAGCAAGAGAAAGATAGATAGAGGTCCAGATAAAATATTTTTCTCTCAGCTTAAGTTTTGAATTGTCAGAGGATAACTGAGAAATAATGTATTTGCACATGACTTAATAGCCAAAGAAAAGATCTAAAGCTGGAGAACTTCAAGATCCATCTCCATTTTCCTTTGTCTCATGCAAGTCACCTAGCATGAGAAATAAATCTAACAACCAGTAATAGCAGTGGAGCAGGAGCAGCTTCAAAATGATCAAGAGTGAGAATGAGAGCGGATTATAAAGGCCGCCTCGTCCTGATTTAACACAGTTGGTGGAGTTTGTCAGCTGTTACCGATCACCTGACAGTGTGCACAATTGTTCTGCTCTGTCAGAACAAACTTGATGCGACTTCCACTCTATCACCTGATCAGTATGTGAGCCAGGGAGCACAGCAGGCTGAGGGTAGAGACTGGTCTGAGATCAGTCAGCAGCAGGCAGGGCAGCAGGAACATCAGAGACGCCAGAGAACACACTGATCTAGGAACAGCCATCCCTGATAGACTGTCAGACAACAGATTGGTGGAGACAACCAGATACAGGGTACAGGTCATCAACAGCTCAATGATCTGTAAAGTAAAAAAAAGAATAAAAAATTAAACAGGGTTAAAGAGAGATGTTTACTTCAGGTATTTACTGGACATTTATCACAACTCAGTTTATAGACATGTGCAGAACGTTTAACAAAATAAAGAATGTGTGTGTTACCTGAGCTCCATTAACCATGCACCCCCCCAGTCCAGGACAGTTGGGCCACAGTCCTTTGCAGCAGACCTTCACTATGTCCTGGTAGCTGTGTCGGACTCTGACCTTTGACACCGACCCTCCGCTGAAAGATACAAAAACCTCCTTGCAATGATAAATGTGTGTCCGATACAAATTCACGTTTTTTTTCTGTTTTCAAAGCTACATCATGTTGTCTTCGAACTATTAAGCACATTTTCAATACATCTTTAATAAAAACTAAACTTTCCCTCAAAAATATAAGAATTGCATTTGCTGTGTTGAAGCTTATATTCAAGTTTTTAAAGTTGTTTTTTTACAGCTGGCAATGCATATTTAAAATCAGACTCATTTGAACTAATCTGAATCAAAATATAATTTGACAGAACACCACAAATGAATGAGGCAAAAGTAAACACGAATATCACAGCATTACAGAACCCAACACAGTCACATTTCTTTTAGCTGTGGCAGAGGTGTATTTCTAAAGCGTACCAGTGCTGAATGAACAGAATAACATGTATGTGTATTTGGTAAGAAGAGGAGTCTGAATAGAATGGGATGAATAAATATAAGAATGACTCTGTTGTCAGAAATAATAGTCACCCCTGCTGAAAATACAGAGAGGAGAGCACCTGCGGAAACTCAAAGTTAGTCAACAATGACTCCAAGAAAAAAAACTCCTAGCACTGATCACACTGACAAGTGCTCTTTGGGAAGTACAGTCCAGAAGTGCCACAGCAAGTTAAATAAGGTGCTTAGCACATCCTTGCTTTCAATACAATAGAAAACCCACTGCAAGTGCTTTTATGAATTAAAAGTGATATTACCTAGCTATAGAGTGATGTTGCTATTAGTTAATTGACACTGTAATGTTACATGCATTCATTCTGTTCAAGTGTTTGTAGCACCTCCTGTAGGTCATTAAGTAAATGTCACCTGTTCTTGTCATTTTAGACGTATGCTCTCTCATTAGCTGTTAATAGTCACATTGATCGTAGTCACATGATCAGTTCTGCCATTTTCCTGTAAACAAGCTAGAGAATGGCATGCTTCAAGTCCTCACTTCATCTTGCTCCATCTGCCTGTGTTAACCTTGGGGAAGCTTTGTTTGTGAGTAGATTAGTTCATCTATGTTTATAGAATTTCTTTCTGCTAATTTTTCATTGTATTTAATATTATTTATGTACATTATTTCATAGTCACTTTTGTATTATTTACAGTTTCACACTTCAGCAACTTGACCACATTGAGTGCTGTGTCTTGAATAAACGGACGTACAAGTGCACGTTGATAACCAACTTTACGATCCTCTGTCACTGAAGCCATCTAGTGCTGCTTTAAATCAAGTTAATCAAGAGTGTTTATCTAGCTGGTGATGTGCGCCTCGCTACGCGCTCATGTGCCAGAATAGACACCAAATGATTAGAATATAATAGGAACCCTACCTTTGATCCTCTTCATATAGACAGGTCACCAGGATCCTCCCTGTGTGGTTGCAGACCCAGGCTGACAGAACCAGCAGAACAAGACCCACATAACCTGACTGGACCAGAGCAAAGGGTAAACCCAACACAAAGATACCCTGTGGGAGAAGAGAGAGATAGAAAGAAAAACCATTATTGGGGAGGCTTCAGAGGACAGTGAGAAAATATATACAACAGACTTTCAGGGGGGGGGGGCTTGAGCCAATCCCAGCTGGCATCGGGTGAAAGGCGGGTTACATGCTCAGTAAAATTAAAAGAGTGTGAGAGAGATAGGAGATCCGCAGCTGTGTTACATGCGATATTATCGATATGCAGGTTAAAGTCCCCAATTATTAGGACCAGTTTGATAATAGATGATAAAAATTCAGTAAAATCAGTAAGAAAGACGCCAGCCGGGCCAGGAGGACGGTAAAATTAACACAAAGTAAAATGTGTTAAAAGCACCTACTTTGAGCATCTGTGATTCAAAAGAGGAAAAACTTTCAGAGTTTATAGCTTATATAAGAATCTGTCACAACAGTGACTGTCTTCACAGATTCAGCAGGGTGAACAGGCTGTGGTTGGGGTGGGTACTGTCCTTTAGTATCCTTTGGGCTTTGTGTAGGCACCTCACCTCCCCGATATCAAATTCAAATGATATCAATGATGATCTTCTGAGCAGTTTTAATCACCCGCTGCAGAGCCCTCCGGTCCTAGGCCTTGACTTGTTTCCATTAGAAATAATAGCTGACAATTCTTGAAATGTGAAAATTCAAAAATTTTGTTGCAAGAAAAGAGGGGGAAAAAGACTAAGGAAGACCACTGACAAGGAAATGAAGAGAAGAAAGGACCATTCATGGTTGGAAGATGAGGAGGCGAGAGAAGAGTTTTGGCCTAATGCCTGGAGAGTTTGAGGATGCCGGAGACCAGCAGGAGCAGAAGGAACGAGGAGTGTCGAGCTTAGGCCCATCACTGAGGGGAAAATATTAGTGACTGCCTGGGAGAGGAGAAGAGAGGACAGGATAGAGGAGAGAAGGTGTAGGGAACAGAGCAGGAGGAAGGAGAGATACAAACTCAGGGCTAGAGAGCAGGAGGTTGATGGAGGAAGAGGAGGAGGACAAGGGGAGATCAGAGGAGACAACAAGCTACTTTGATGGAGCTGCTGTGTTTTGACTGTTGGAACATGGAGAGGGAGCTATGGAAACACATCATAGCACATCACTACCGCAGACTCACGCACACGCAAACACACATTGTGGATGCATAAACAGACAAGCACACATTCTCTCTCTTTCAAGTTACTATTTTGTAACTGGTGTCTGTTAGGCATATGCTGATAGAGCTTTGATGTTCAAATGGAGCTGCCGGGGATGAAAGCAGTTTGAGAGAAATCTGACACTCAAGTTTACAATTTCACCCCCCTCTCTCCCCCCTTCTCTCTCTCCCTCCACTTCTTCTCTCTGTGGTTTTGCCAGCTAATTCCTCATTGGTTACTCTGAGCACAACCCGAATTACAAACTGATACAATAAGGCAAGAACCAAAAAAAATACCTCATTGGCTATGGAGAAGATGATTTATTCTTTTCTGCTCCATCCCGCCATAATATGACGCCCAAAGACAGTCGAAATCTGTTTATTCAGGGAATGTTGACCGAGCACATATGCTCTTTTTCATACCTTACATTCACAATATTGGCCAGCAAGCAGCAAGGGTATCTCAGCGACATATGCTGGGGAAAAAAAACATTATTACACGTTCACTGCTCCTGTCTGGACTTCCCAGGTCCCAAGATTTCAGCTGCTAAGGTCATGCACGGTATGTTATGCAAGCACATGCCCTGTGCACAAAAAGAGATAGAGAGATGTATTTTGCCCAGCCATGAGGGGATAAGGTGATGCAGATCCAACCTGAAACAGACAGGTTTTAAATAACTGGAAGTCTTTTTTTTAAACCATGACAAATGTTGTTGTCTTTAGTTTAATAAAAGTTCTTCTGTTTTTTCAAATGATGAAACTCTGAAAATGACATTTCTGCTATTGTCTTGCAATCCTTTCACAGTGTATAAATGTTTGTGTAAAGGATGGAGAAGATGTTACTTCTACTACTACTCATGTTACTTTCTTTGTTGCTGATAATGATCAGGAAAAGTGAAAAGGATCTGCACACTATCTCCCAGCAAGTTTAATTTAACAGAGCAACATTTCGGTCTAATAGAGATCTTCATCAGGCATTGTCAAATGACCATCGTAAAAAGCAGAACAAGCAACATACAGATACAAAGACATTCATCACTTCATCAATCACTATCACTACAGAGCTGGATAACATGGTCTAATACTCCCATATAGGGGACAAAGCATACCTTTATGGAAATGGAGAAATAGAAAAAATATATATCTTACAACAACATATTAAATCTAATACATCAACTCTTACCTTAAACAGGAAAATCAACCCAAACAAAAGAAAGAATAAAAAAAGGGGGGCGATACATCCACAGATGTTAACCCTTGAGAGAGACGATCAAAACATATTTATTTCAAAATCTGTGAAAGAAAAGTAGGATCTGTTGTTGTTCCAAGCAAACGTTGCTCCGTTAAATCAAACTTGCTGGGAGCTATCAGGACAGTGTGTGTAGATCTTTTGTCTGACTTTTGCCTTCGGGTTGGTTTTTGATCCAGCACCTGAAGACATTTTTTGGACGTGTGTACCCTGCAATGGGTTTGTCTATGATCATGAAAGGTGCCATAGCATAGTGAGGTTGACAATGATGATAGAAAATTGTTTTACTTTTATGGAAAAGATTATACTAGAGCTGAAAAGATTAGTTGATTTAATTGGTTAGTCGATCATCAGAAAATTAATTGGTAACTATTCTAATACTTGAGTAATCATTTCAATCATTATTTAAGCAAAAATGCCAATCATTCATTAATTTTCTATAGTGTAAATTATTAATTAAAGTAGTAGGTAGTCCAGCAAGTTATAAAGCACTTCCATAAAGTTGCGTGACTCACATGGGGCAGATAGTAATAATAATGATCAAAATCAAAGCAGCAAAAGCCGAGATATCCCACTTTCAGCATCTAGCATGGGTCAAGCTCCACAAAATGTGCATTCTACATTTCCCGTAATGCAACTGGATGACATATTTTCTTGAAACTGCCTCCTAAATGCCAACATCTTTCACACTCCACACCTCCTGTTTTTGATGCAGGCTTTCTGTTTAAATTTGTGCCCCTTAATTTAATTGAAAAAGAAAAAACGATGGAGTAATCAGCAATGAAAATTACTATAATTATCTGCTGCTAAACTGGGTATATATAATGTTTTTTAAGAGTATTATGGTGACTAAAGGTTAGCAATTTGAAGACGTCACCATGGCTCTGTAAAATTATAACCGAAACGTTTCATTATTTTCTGATAGTTTATAAACCAAATGATTAATTGGTTTGGAATTCAATCGGCCGATTAACCTTTAAGGAAGTACAATTAAAATAATTCCTCTGGCAAAATATCTGATCAAGATAATAGTGGAAATGATAATATGATAATATTACAGGAGGTGATCTACCAAATCTTGTGGAAGATGACACTAAAACTGCAAAAATGTACTTTTAAAAATTATGAATTAACCTGCAGCATCTATTCAGCTTCACTTTTTTGTAGGGTCTTGGGATGTATTTGGCAGCATGATTAACCAAATAACTTTTGACAGCAAGCTTTCCAGAAAAAAAGGGGGAACTTTCTTCATTTCCCTACGGCTTGCACTTGGATTGGAACTTGAATTTTTAACCCAGTTTAAGGTAAAACATGACTCAGAAACAGAGTATAGTAAATAGGCAGTGCAATTAATATAAGTTTTTCTTAGTGTCCTCATCTCTAATCCGCGATGAAGACATACAAACTGGCGTTGCCTCATTAACAGTCAGGTTGGAATTAAAAGTGAGCTTGATAGTATTCCCTGTTGCTTTGAGAGCTGGGTTTTGCAGTTTTGGCAGCAAATTTGCTCTCTAATAAAAACTTTATTAAGCTGGCAGACAGGCAGTTTATATTGGCATCAATAAACCACAACCGGAAAATGCATATTTTCTTTTTAACCTTGATAGGAGATAAAATGGCTGTTCTTTTTTCCATTATCAAGACATCTGTTCTTAACAAATGGATCTGTTGTAATGGCACGGATAGGTGTTTATACATCAGATACATTCTGCGTCTTTTTGTTGTTACTATGTGGTTATCCATCACTTTAAGCATCCAACGAATCATCACCTTTGATAAAAAAAAAAATTGTCATCCAGTAGTCACTTAACTTAACCTACCTGTGACCTCATAACAAAGCGATTACTCAGTAATCTCTTTGGTTGCGGTTCCTGATTACAGTGTGCTGCAGGTAATAGATAACCTATAAAACATCACCCAACCCAACAGCCAAGGAAAGAAGCTGAAAAACTTGATGTGCAACAGTAAAATAGAAACTATTCCAATCAAAGCACTGTTGCAAATATATCTGGAAGTATTGAGGTTTCAGAAGAAACAAATCATAGATTTGATTAGGCAGTTTAAATCAGTAATATGGAAAATATCACAGTCTCAGTTTTCATTAGAGACAGCGTTGTCTGGCACATAATCTCAGTCTCTAATGAAAAGAGGAACTGTCTGGCACTCACATAGATAGACTAGCATCAGTAAAAGAAGCACACCCATACTTTTTAATCTACTGAATATCATGTGTGTGTATGTGTGTATTTATGCTAATAGTGATTTAAACCATGTATGTATACAGCAATCTGATGCAAAAGTATTTGATGTAAATTTACCTCAACTCCTGAAGAATCATGTTTGCATGCATGCGTACACTGTATTCATGCCCTAATGCCATAATGCTCTTTAAGGACCAAGGGAGGCTGTTTGATTTCGCTACAGTTATTCACTGAACACATAATGGTAAACGCATTTACATGAGTACAGTAGTTGATTACCAACATTTACAGCAAAATAAGCTATAAGCATTACCGCACGAGGACACACTGTAACTGGGAGCTTTTCTTTTCAATTTGATTCATGCATTATTTGATTATGAAGACCAGAGAGTGCCTGACAAGCAGCCTGCAACACCAAAAAGCATTGTTTAGTATTATTAAAACACAATGGGAGTGGATTAAATAATCTGCAGGTTTAATGCTTTTTTGAATCTAGTGTGCAGCTTGGCGCCTAAACAGTTGGCACATACTTTTTGCATTTGTCTTCTACAAGAGGAAAGAGAGAGACGTAACGTTTTGGAGGAAAAAAAGAGGAATGATGTTTTGAAACTGAACCAACAAAATAATTAATTCCAAGTTTGCAGCTGTGGTAAACATGGGCTATGTCATAGGAAAGTCAAATTCAGAAGACTGCTGTTCAGCAGCCAAATAAGAATTTGCTACAAGGAACAACTGGACTGCTATGAAATGATCAGATAATTTTGACCAACAAATATAGGTTTCATGTCTGTGCAAGTCATTCCTGTACATTAAATTAATTTGACAGAGATGTATATTCAAGGTGACTTACAAGTTTTCCCCCACATTTACACACTGGGAGCAATTCGGGGTGATGTGTCTTGCCAAGGAAACAGGAAAAGGGATCAAAGAGGGATAAAGGATTTGATCTACCAAATAAATGGTGGAAGATGACACTAAACCTTTTAATGAATTAACCTGCAGGATCTATTCACCTTCAGGTTTTTTTGCTGGGTCTTGGGATGTATTTGGCAGCATGATTAACCAAACAACTTTTTGACTGCAACTTTCCCCCCCAAAATGGGAACATTCTTCCTTTCCCATGGCTTGTGCTCGGATTAGAAAGACATTTGGGATAGTTGGCAATGGTAGGCAGTAATCTGAATTATGTGTTATTTGGTCTTACGTAACAAGATGAAACATGGAAAACCTTTGTAATGGTCCTTTAAATTAAAATATGAAAGTACAATGCACGTATTATTATAAGTATACCTGTATAGCATTTGTGACATTCCAGCCAGCCTCCCAGGCGGTGATGGTGGCAGTAGGATTCAGACCTGTGGTGGCGGTACTGGGGCACTGAACTGGACTGGCCAAACTCATCCCTGTTCTCTCTTCTTCAAGGCTGGTACAGAGCTGAGAATCCCCCTCCACAATTTCCTCTCCTTCCATTTTCTCCTCTCCATCTTCAGCAAGTCTTTGTTTTTGCACATTCCCTCTAAGCAGGGCAGCCAACCCGTGGGATCTTTTCTTGTTACCCTGGTTCTGGTTAAAACTCAGATCCTTGTCAGCTTGTATCTTAGATGATGTTTTCCATTTGCCATAACTCCTTGTATTTTTTAACCAAGGTGAGTCTGCAGTGGAAACCGCTGAGGTCATGGTGATGGCACTGGGCCCAGTGGAGATTACAGTAGCTCTGGTTTCTTTGAAAGCTGGACTCGCCTGCTGTAAGGTGGTGGTGGATCCCGTCAGATTAGGAGCTGGTCTCTCCCTCACAGTGGGATTATCTTGTTCAGTCAGAGACAGGCTGTTTCTTCTAAATGATGTTCTGTCTCTTCTGGTGTCATCGCCGCTTGTCTTGTTTTTGTTTGTGATGTTGTCAAAAGGCAATCTGGTGTCCTCACAATAGGTTCGGTTCAACTCGTCACTGTGGGTCAGAATCACCATCTCTTCATCCTGCTGAAAGAACCTGCGGATCAAACCCACACAGTCTTTAAATTTGTGGTTTCACTGTCCACACCCACTTTATGCAAACAGCATATTTTTACTCTAATAGGAAGACAAAGCTCTGTGAGTATTTGGACAGTTAAAAATAACTCAAGTTGTCAACAATATTACTATTCCTTCACATGTAAAATTACATACTGAGTTTGAGTATAAAGTGTGGACTTCACCAAACTGGGGAACATTGTTGCAACCTAGTGGAGTTTAACTTAATCAAAAACAACAAAAATAATTATATATTAATAACAACATTAATGTATTAACAGAATAACAAATAGAGCTTTTTTATTGACTTGTAGAACACCTTAAAGTACTGTATAAATAAACTTAACTTATTTAGTTTTCTGATTATGATGTCTGATTATGATTAGTGTATGTAGTTAATTAAGATAAATTAAAATAATATTTATAGTTTTAATAGTCTTTACTTGCAATTGTAATCATACATAATACAAAAATCTTATGTGTACATGTATCAATGAACTTGGCAGATATTTTACATGATGCTCACAGACGTTATTGTGTTATGAATTAAATAAATAATAATAAATACTTCAATATGTAAATCTATAAAAGAATATGTCCCATGATGTGACTCACCTTGTTGTCCAGTCCAGGTGTAGCCTTGACACGGCCCAGCCCCACAGAGAACCAGCTGCACTCCAGGGCTGCCCCAAGCTACGAGCCCTGGGAAGAGAGTCCATCTTCAGCCTCACCGCCTGTAGAGTCAGCCTCCCTGCCTTTGGAGGTCTAAGGGTCTGGGGGAGCTTGACTGACACTGGACACATCAATTCTATACTCACATAAATTCTCACCCAAACACACACAGACACACATTACTCACATTGTCTGCCCATAAAGAAACTGTGTACAAACACCAACACCCCCCCCACACACACAATTGCACAAGCGCACTTGCATAACTACACACAACTGCACAGGTGTATGAAGTGAGTGGCAAGTTGGTGAGCTGTAACATTTTAATATACCAGAGTTTTCGACAGTGAAGAAGTAAACAGCCACAATGGCCTGCACAGTAGATCAGTACACTCAGGGATGAAGTGTGTGTGTGTGTGTGTGTGTGTGTGTGTGTGTGTGTGTGTGTGTGTGATAGATTGGGAGCGGATGGGAAATCCCAATTTATCAGTTACATGCTGATAAAATAAAATCCAAACTTAAATTATAGAATAAAAATGTTCAAATGAAAAATCAAACCCACAGACTTAGGTGGTTGCGTTTTGATAAGTACGAACTGTATGTCATCGCTTACTCCATTTCATTTAGTTTCACATTTCACATTTCATTTTTGACTTTTTGGAAGCTTCAAACAACATTCTGAGTTTAGTAAGAAATCATCTCTACACAAATGTATAAAATATTCACTATTTTGCTTATTTCTCGTCTCTTTATGTGCAATTGGCTGTGCTCTTGTGACAGTTCATACCTGGCTGCTTCAGTTTTGCCCCAGAGTGTGGTAAGTTGTGCAGGGCAGCAGGAGGAGCCATAGAACAGTTGTTCTCAGTGTGACTCAGTGGACACAACTGGACCAAAACTTCTGCCCAACTCTGCTCTCCTCTCTTCTGAAGTGTTCTGTGCAACACTTAAACTCCTTTTTTCTTTTCCCGTCTGTACTCTTTGTCTGTGGTAGCCAAAGCTATGCTGATGCAACATTTTATTTGCTTTGTAGCATCTGAAGTTTTTATTTCCAAAACAGCTCTTGTTCTGCAGCACACTGATGTTCGCTTTAAGCTCTTTATGGATTCAGTGTTTTGAGCACCGGCTCCAAACTCAGACAGTTTCAAGTGTTCATTACCAGCTGTGGAAAGTTAACTATGCTTACAAGCTCAGTGGACCAGCACACAAAGTAATCTGATTGCTCTAATTCAGGGTTGCCATATGCTTTGCAGTGATGGAAAGTAAATAAGTACATGAACTTAAGTACTGTTCTTAAGTACAATTTAGGTACTTTGAATAATTGTTTTTAACATTTAACCTTTTTTAACTTGAAGTTTTGAATTTTATGCTACTTTATACTTCTAGTCTATCTATCTATCTATCTATCTATCTATCTATCCACTTTATGTGGAATTTAAAACAGGTATAGCCTATTTCTGTGGAATAACCAACTATGTTACATTATTTTGATTTTTTGTTTTATACATTTTCCATATGTTTTTCATCAATTTCTCCCTCCCTCTGTTCCTAGTATAAACCCGCGGAGAAGGAGGAGAGAAGAGAGGAAGAGGAGGGGGCGTAGGGAGAGAGAGAGAGAGAGAGAGAGAGAGAGAGAGAGAGTAGGGGTCAAACTTCTGCGAAACTTCTTCCATTCAACTCAACGCAGAGCCGCGCGAGAGGACAGCGCTGACTCCACGGCGCGCGCGGGACGATATCAAACTTCCACATTGAACGAAATGAAGCGACTGCTGCTCGTGCTTCTGACCGCGTTGCTATGGCAATGCTGCCATGCCCAGCAGAGAGGTAAGTCCCCCAGAGACTGATAGATAAGACTACCGATCTCTACACCACTATACGGGCTCTGTGAGAGTCACTCAGCGCAGAACAACACTCAAATGGGCTCAGTGTCAATCACCCAGGGCTGCTGCTGCTCATAAGCTTATCAGTTTACAGCTAGCTACACCGTTAGGCGAATAGTTATTAAATGACACGACTAGCATAACGTCTTTTCATCAGCGTGTTAAACAAGAAAATGTCCTCATTGCTGACAGTTGTTGAAAACTCCCCCACTTTGCTGAGGGTTTCTTTGAACTTTTGCTTCATTATTGGTAACAGAAAAGTGCAAAAAATGTGGAAACCCCTTAAATGACACACCTTGTTAAGCCTAATTATAACAAACACAATTGTGTGAGCACAAAACAAAAACCAAACAGCTGGAGTGGCATGAGAGCACAGATGAAAAAGAGACAGATGCTTGAAAGTTAGTTTGGAGAGGTGCCTGATCTGTTGTTTGTGTGATCTGTTTTTGTAATTAGAAAACAATGAGGAACATTATGAATCATCAGGGCCCAGAGAAATGCATGTCTTTGTTGTTATTTTTAGACTCATAAATCAAATTAATGGGTTGAACTTCAACATGACTGACTGAGTAGCCTAGCTGAACCGTATGTACTGATGCAGCACACTTGGATGGGCCTTTTGCAGTTACTGCTTAGCCAACAGAGTTGATTATTACCCAGTGTGCACTGGATGTCATTTAGTCTCACAAATTATGTCTACCCCCTGGGGAGTCTCACATAGTTCCAGTAATAAGACACTCACAACTGTGCTGGCCATATGGCTCTGTTCCATTGATAAAAATCAAAAGATGATTTTTTACAAACAATAAGTTATCTATACTAAACATTAATAGTGTGCCATATTGGTTTTGGATTTTGTACAATTTGCCTAGTTGTCAGAAATATATGAAGTCTTAATTAACATTTCATATTTAGTAAAGTACAGGCCTTGTACAACCACACAGGTAGACTTTTGTATTTCTATTATTTAACTGACAGGCCAGCCTCAGTGTTTTCCTCTAAGAAAGCTAACAATCAGACTGACTTTAAGGGTCTGTTCACCCTAAGGATGAAAAGAAATCATTTTTCTCTTCTATCTCTAGTCGGATCAGGCCATTCAGACTTGGTTTTAAGATATCCATCTCTGAATTTTTTGCCATCAGCCCAATACAATGAAGGTGAATTGAATTTTGTTTGTGGTGCGTAAAGTCAACAGCAAAACGTCTTTCCAGAAACAGTGTACCATGTTTCTCTGAGGTTTCCACAAACCTCTTTGTCAACAGTTTTTTGTGGAGCTATTTTTACCAAAGCCCTATGAAAAGAGAGGAGCATTGGTGTTGAAAATATAATTTTCAATGCTTTGAGCACTGCAAAGAAAATTCAATTCATATCCACTGCACTGGTTTGCAGGCAGAAACCTTAGAAGAATCTCTCGAAACCCAGACAAATAAAACCACATCAATCTGCATGCCTGGATACCACTAGGGTTAAGAAAGAACATTTTATTATTATTTTTTACGTGAACCAACCCCTTTTAAAGATCAAATGTAGCCACGAAGTGCGCTTCAGAAAGAAAAAGCTGCTCTTTTACTTGGTGTATTTGTGAGGTTGTGAAAGATTAATTAGGTGCTTTGTGTGTTGGGGCCGTGACAAGCAGAGCCGAGCAACAATGCCCTCAGCACAGATGGGGATTGACAGCTGGGACAAGACCAATATAATGTGACGCACAATAAGAGTCAAAATATTCATGCAAAATACAGATTCTTATTATTAGTCAAATTGTCCTTCTTAATCAGAAATTTTTGCTGTAGAAAACAAACACTAGAGCGAGGGTTTGGCATTGACTATTGCTTGAAAGAAGAGACAAATCTAGTGTTCATCATGCTTTTTTTCCTATTTATCATATTCAAAACATCACTAGCTACTGTCTAACCTATGAGTGCTTTGGACCTCCCGCAAAGAGGAGGAGGAAGAGGAGGAGGAGGTAGCCTCGGCCGTCAGGAAGTGTGTGTGTTTGTGCGTAGTGTGTGTCTGAGAGAGAAAGTGAGTAGAAGAGGGTGGGAGAGGCCATCTGCATTACGAGCCTCATTACCGGGCGTGTCAACCAGGCATGCTCTCTATCAGTGACAGAGCTCAGAGAGACACCAGGAGATAATCAGAAAGGGAGGAGGAGGAGGAGGAGGAGGAGGAGAGCTGACATGGAGAGGAGAGAGAAAGGAGGGTGCGTTCAAGAGTTATTAGGCATTATAGGAGTGATAGCGAAAGGATGGTGAAACAGGTACACTGAAGGTTCAGAGGACATGCGAGAGAGGATGAGGTTAAGCAGCAAGAGAGAGCAAGTGAGGGAAGTATTGGAGGGAAGTATTTGAAAATGTTTCCTCAATATCGCCAAAGTTTTTGTGCTGGTTTGAGGAGAGAGATGGAAACACAAGTTGGTGATGATGTAAAGACATACTTTTTTTTGGCAACATTACAGAAATTCAAGCAAATTTGCAGGAGATTTGGGCAGAAAGATTGCTCAATACTGTTGACCCTGCAGGCGTCTTAACAGACTCAATGAAAAACTGGGTCATAACTGAAGCAGTTGTGATGTTGGACTTTTTGTGCACCAAACACGATTCAAAATTTGAATGTAAATGTGATGACGGCTCTATTGCTGTTGCTTTACTGTCAACTTTATGATTGTTAAACTGTACGTAAAATGTAATGTTATAGAGAAATATTTGAAGTCTTGTTTCAGGGGCTGTAAGTCATTTATCACGCAAAAAAATCATTTGCATTTGCAGTTTGCTGATTAAAGCCTCTAAATGTGAGGGTTTGCTTCTTTTCACTGTAAATGTAGCATCTTTGCGTGTGAGACTGTTAGTAAGATTGTAATTAGAAAGTAAGAAGAAATTTAAAGATGTCATCTTGGGCTCTGAAGTGGGTTTTCATATTCATATTTGTTGCCAGTATTCATGAGTGAATGTAATTCCCGCTGCATCATCATGAAGCCACGTCCAGTGTAATCAGTAACAAACAAACAAGTGCAGAATGGACAGTATAATTTTTTGTGTAGACCTTGTTTTATATACTCGATCAGTATGATTCTTTTTGCAGGTTACGTTTTGAACTCTCTCTGACTTGGTGTCAGATAAGAGTCAGAATGATACATGAGACTCTAGAGCCAAGCCAAACAACTGTAGTGAATAAAGATACAATGTCAAGAATATGTGGCTGTCACTGGGGAAAATTTGAAAAGTTCTGAGAAGTTGCTAGAAAAGCTGACTTGTTCGAGAGTTAATTTTGTCTTTCACTTTGTCTCAGTTGTTTACACACAAACACTGGTAACTGAGACACTATGACCCCCAACCTGTAATTCATGTACCAACCCCCTGAAACCATTTCTTCTAAAATACAAGTACATTTCCTGCTTTACAGTTAGACTGCAGTGTTTTCGAAACACTACATGCAATTCTCTGCATTTGGACAAAGATCATGATATATCTTCTATCCTATCTCACTGCCATTCAAAATGCTAAACTTATATTTAATGCTTTCCACTCTGGCTCCTCACATACACAAA